TACAAAAAGAGTATAGGAACATGGGGAACTTAAAGGATGAGAATGATGAACTAAAAATAATTCAGAAGTAGGAAAATTTTATAAGTTTGAACCTACTGAGGCAATATTTAAAGACATATATGACTCAAATCTTAGGGTACAGCGTCACTGAATAATATCAAGAATAATTTTCAAATATGTCTTGAAGAGTTTAAATATGAAAGCATATTTTCCAGAAATAGTTTTTCTTACTACTGAGAAGAATAATCTGGTGTATCCCCACTCTTTTGATGTTTACTACTGGGTATAGTTTTATTCTTTGAGTGTAACACAAACTGTAGTCTTAAATACATCCCTTTACTGATAAAGAGTTTCATGTAGGGAACACCCAGACTTTTATTCTGAAAAGACAAATTTTAAAAACAGATAAAATACCAATTTCAGCAGTACACTCATGCCTATCAAACCCTGATAATTAAAGGAATATTATGTAACTTGACTGTGTCTTCAAAGAAAGTTAACTTACCTTGTATTTTGTCTTTGTTCAAATTGGAGTACTTTTTGCATGTTTCCTTCTCTGTGTTGCTAAAATATTGTACATTGTAAAAGAAGAAGCAAGAGAAATTAAAGAGAAGCAAAAATAGAGAAGTTACTTGGAAACCAAAATGTCTACAATGTCATTATATACTCAGAATATGAGTCATTCTAGAGGCATTTACAGTTTTTTATGCCATCAAAGACTCAAAAAGTAATAGCAAGAGATATAAATATTGTAATAAATACAATAAACTCACAGCAACCATAGATTTACTGTGGCCTAAAATTTTACAGAAACATAAAAAGTAACAAATCTCAGCTCCCCTTACTTAGAATGTAATTCTCCTAATTAATTAGCTGTGGTAAAGAGAATACCTATTAATAGCCTAAGACATACGGTGCACAATTTAGCTGCTCTGATTCACAGAAAAGGGAACATATACCATCATTGTCTTTTTGTTGTTGTTATTGGGAATGATATTTTATCACTGCTAGTTTATTGTCACTGAAATTTATTATCACTGTTATTTATCATCACTGATACTTTATTCTTTGGGTTCTCAACATGTTTTCTAGCATTCCTCTCTGAAATCATTACAAAAATCCTTCTTCCACACAGGTAGAATAGGAAAAAAAGTAAGATCTTTTGATGTTTTTCTTGAGGCATGAACCATACAAACTATTTAATTGCATGTAGGTCACTTCAGCCAACTTAAACAGCTCAAAGGCAAGACTTCAAAATTGTTTCAAATTTTTTTAAGAAATGCCTAAAAATATTTCAGAAATAAAATATTTTAAAATGCTTTAATAATGGAATATTAGAAGCAATATGAAAAATAGAGACTATAATAGCCCATGGGAAATAGATTGATTCTTACAAAAGCAATACCTGGTAAGTATAGATGAGCAAGATGAAGGGTGTGATTTGAGAGAACATCCCTCCTTCTTCATCAGCACTACCCATTCTCACTGCTTATTACTCAATTCTGCATCTCAGATTGAATCACTGCTGTTTTTATGGAGTCCTATGGTCTTCCAGACCAGGGAGGGTCAAGAGAGCATCTTCTATGTGCTGTAGAAATATATATATATAAATAATTATGTAACTGAAAAACGAACTCACCTTTAATGAAAAATCATTCCTGGGACTCTCTTCTTCACTTTTGAGAATCTAAAATGTATATTAATTAACTAATTCACTTGTATAGAGAAGTACTGTGGAAACAAAACATAAGTGGCCTGGAAAATGTGGGTGAACCAACCAAAAACCCTCAAATTTTTCATGCAAATTTTGGTCCCAAGCCTTAGAATGACAACTGCCTTTCCCCTAAACTAGCTGTCAACAACAGTCCTAAATAGGTAGCTCCAAGCTGGTATCCTGGGTAGAAAACAGCAGCAACCAGGGATATCTGTACCAGCACATTTTGTGTAATGGCACTGGGAAAAACACGTCTCCCATCTTCTCTGACTTGTCCTTGAAAGCTCCTCCTTTCCTCCAACCACCAGAAACCAGCAGGCAAAATTTCCTTTGGCTCGTTCTTCATATTGAGTGTACCTTGTGGCTGTCTCCATGCTCAAGTACCTGCTGAATCTGACTGACATAGCTACAACCCACTGCATTTTGTTGATACTTCTCAGACAGAGCTTGTGACTTAAAAGGGGCTGCAATATGCTTTCAGCAAGACCACAGTGGGCTTGCAGGCTTTGGGCTTTTTTTTTTTTTTTTTTAATATAACTTTATGAACTAGAGGTAATAAAATTATTCTGGTTCCACAGAACATATAGAGATTGATAGAACACATCTTAGAAGTTTATTATTGCTACTTCTGAGGGAAAAAACCAAGTAGACAGTGTGCTGTTTATGACCAGCAGAGAGGATGGGGGCTCTGCTCTGTCATGTTATTGTCCAACTGAAGATTCTCAGGGTACTATTACAACAGGCCAGGCTCTCTGGGTGACAGTGAGCTAAGACTGCAGATCTGGTAAGGAGAGTTGCAGCAACACACAGATCTCTTTCAGCTAACATCCTACAAACAGCAGCTGGCAACAGCAAATTAGTTGATGGTTCTGTGCTGAGGCAGTGAGCAGGGCTTTTCACAGCACAGCCCATTTGGGGTGTGCTGTAATTTGGGTTCTGTAGGTGTTCGGCAAATTCAGGAAGTGCAATTTGCACCTCTTTGAGCCAGAAACGGAATGAGTCAGATCCTTGAAGCTTCAATTTCAGCTTTGCTGCAGCCTCCTCATTGTTCTGACTAATACAGTGATTTTATACCCAGCTAAGTATGGTAAAAGTCAGCTGCATGGCCTCTAGGTTAGAGCTAGCTCATGCTGGCGTCAAAGCTAAAAGACTCCTACAGATTTCAGGGGAGCAGCTGCAGGCCACTCCAGGTACCTGTAAGCAAAATTATTAACTACATGAGAAACACACAAATCAAGATACATTTAACAGTACAACTCACCGCATCAGAAGTCATTAGCATCTCAATGCTTAGGCGTCAAATTTGAAACATCTGAAAGAGGCCAGAGGTTCAGAAAGAACAAAGCAGATGGACATAAGACCTCTAACATATTAAAAACCAAGAAACTTAAAATAGGCAGCAACCTTAAATGCAAATCTAGCTCTCTAAACTTATGAAAAAAAAGGCCTAGATAAATGCCCTGTATGGAAATGCACTGTGCTGTGAAAAGTCCTGCCCAATGCCTCAGCACATACTTGTCTAACACCGCAGGATCAGTGTCCTGTGTCAACTTGGTATGTCCTGGGCAATACTGAAACGTCTCCCTTTCATGAGACTTTATATATACACACTGGCACTTTTCATGGTCAGTGCACACATTTACAGAATACAGGCTTCTTTCCGATTTATTTGATTACTTACTATAATTAAAGTATTTCAAAAACCATTTCTTACTAATGGGTACAATGGTTTTTCCTTCTGTTTATAAATTAACTTTAGTAATTTGTGAAGAACACAGAGGGTGAAATGACTTAAAATAATGTAAAATTTGAAAGATTTAGTAACAGTTTTATTTCCCTGCATTCTCCCATTGGAACCATGATTTGGCAATGCATTTGATAACTGTTTTTCCTTCTGATCTTGTGCAAGCCAAAACCTTGGTCTGACAAAGGATATTGTGAGAGCAGTTATCTAAAACTGCCTGGAGCTCTGGCAGAATCAGGCCAAGGGCCTTGATGCTAACCCTGCAAAAAGTAATTGGGGTTTGCAGTTGGCTATTGGCAAAGTAAGATTAGATTTGGTACTGTAAGGCTGTTGTAACTCCAGAAAATGAAGACATCATCATTTAGTAGTGTTCCTAGTTAGTCCACAACATTTTTTTCTTAAAAGGTGAGGATAAGGTCAGTGGTGAGACCCAGCTTCTCCACCTCTCCAGACGAACTGCAGGGAGAAAGACCAGGGTAATTTGACACAGAGGTCAGACTTTGTATGTACTTGCTGTACAGTATTCTCTAGTCTCAGAATAGTGCAGCTGACAGCTAGGATCCCTCCTTTCTAACAGATGTCAGGTGTTTTTCAGTAAATATCGAAACCATGGATAGCTTTCTGAGCCTGATGTAAAAAGAGAGATTCTAAGGTTTCCTGCATGCAATTTACAACCTCCTTAGAGACCCAGATTATCAGCCTTGCCTGCCTATCAAGCACTACTCGCTTTTTGGGTCAAAGAGGCATCAAAATGGGGTCAGAGGATGAGCTCATTATTTCCTGTCTTCTCGGCAGTCTGCTCCCAATGTTTCTGGGCTCCTCTGTGACGAACGTTGCATTGTTTGTGAAACAATGTCATGTTTTAATGATTTGCAAAGTACTATGAATCGTGCATGTTAAAGATACTCAGAAAGCATTAACAGCTGCTATTTAGTGCAGCAAAGTTTTATAGAATTTCAAGGATATAGACTAATTATGTGTTGAACAATAAGCCCCCATTATAGCGGGCTTATTTAAATAGCCCATCAAGAGTTCAATAAAATGGCAATAGCGTGAGTGAAATTAATATAGGATTCAAAAATATTTTAATCTAATTTGCTACATCTGAAGTAGCAATATTTTCAGATGGATCTTAGTTAAAGTACGTAAAATAAATATTAAAAATATGTATACTTGCCAAATACTTAAACTTTCAGAACCCACAAGGGGTCTGACCCCAGCGTGACCCGCTGCCACTGTGCTGGTGCTACCGGCGTCATTCCCGCCCGGCACCGCCGGGAGCGCTGCCCGGGGTGTCCCATCCCAGCAGCACCTGTGGAACCCTGCGGAGCTGCTGCTGCTCCCGGCGGGCCCGGGCTGCGGCCGAGGCTCCCGGCGGGCCCGGGCTGCGGCCGAGGCTCCGGCACAGCTCCCGGCACAGCTCCCGCACGGCCCGGCCGGAGCCGCCCGGAGCGCGGCGCCTCAGAGGCAGCCCCGCCTCAGGCGGCCCGGCCGCTGCGCCGCGGCGCCCCCTGGCGTGGCGGGCCCGCCATGGCGCCCCCGGCCCCGCGCCCTGAGGGAGCGCCGGGCCCAGCGCGGGATGGCGGCGAGCGCGGCCCCACAGCGGCCCCACGGCGAGCACCGCCTCACACCCGCGTGTCTGGGAAAGGCCGCTGGAACATTATTATTTTTAGGGACACTAAAACGTTGTGGTCATTGCCCTTGTAGGAAGCCTTATCAAAAACTAATTATTGCTCCTCGTTAGAGCTGCATTACAGTTCTGTTAAGAAATACATGAAAAGATAAAAAGTGGCAGAAAAGTCCGTCCATTAAGAGTATGAGCTGAATAAACTTTCCATTTGTGAATAAAACCTTGAGAAGAGAGTCTGCAATATTTAACCTAAAAGGTAGTGCACCTGGTTGACAGAAATCATCATTATCCCAGTGTCAGGAGCACGTTAACATTTCAGACTACAAACAAGAACTGCTTCTACAATTATTGTAGAGGTTAACAATAATTTCCATCTTTAACAGATAATAAAGTTGTAGTAAAATAATATTTGCATTCTCTATTAAAGGAACTCTGCAGATGACCAGCTGATTTGGACGAAAGAACATTTACTAGTTTGTTTTTTGTATTGCAGCCGCCGCAACAGCAGGACCAGCACCTCCAAAATCTGCCTGGCCACTGGCAGCACCAGCCACTGGAGCTCGAGTCCATTTTGGAACCAGGGCGAAGTGAACAGCTGGCTCGAATGAACGCCTGGGAGCCCACACCCTCTCTGTCCCTCAAATAACAATGTTTGTTTCATTCTTATTACACTGAAAGCAAAGCAATAAGCATTTGGGAAAACCACATCTACAGGCTGCTGTGTGGGAGGACATTACAATGTTATCCTGTACAGCAATCTCTTACTTCTCTCTCTCCATTTGATAATAAAAACAATGATTGAACAAATGTCCCTTTCACACTTTGCTCCTCTGCTTTTTGTTCTCCGTCACCTTCCCTAAAACAACACAAACTGAGCCGGTAATAGTTTGTCAGATTCCAGACTCTGGAATGCATTTTCATCAGCCCATTTCTATCTGAACGGAAGTGCAGAGCTGCTGCAGCAGCCACAAAAGCACAAGAGGTCCCATACATCCCTGTGGCTCCTCTCCCACTGGGTGAATTATCGCTATGGATAGGAGTCCATACTGACATCTCTGCCATCTCTCCTGTGTCATCTCTCTGCACACCGTTCCATCCCCCTCCCTCTATGCTACTTAAAGTGATTGCAACTCGAATGATTCATGACACCACAAGTCTTGGAGTCACTCCCCCATACAAGAAACTAAAAGCTCTCCCTCTTTTCTATGAGATCTACTTTCTGCTGATATTTGAGTGAGACGGTGTCAACCCAGACAGAACTGTCATCCAACACTTCTTCTTAAGTAGCTTTTTACCCCTTCGTGACTTGGTAGGAACAAAAACTCAAATGAAATGGAACTGGAATGCTCCCAGTGACACACAGTGCCAGACAGTGACTTGCAGGTGGGAAAGCGCCTCTCCCTGGAATATGAAGACTCTGAAGTTACCTACATGTGCATCGTCTTTCAGATTCCCTTGAGCTGACAGCTCCCCTACCTACCTGTGTGAAGTTTTATATGGCAACAATGAAGGGAAAGAAAAGTACTAATAGAGAAAGTGAGATAACAAAAACATAAAATAGAAAAATAAGCTCAGCAGCAGAATTAGAAATCAAACTTTCTCCTGAAAACAGCAACAGGAATCTAGCCAAGAAACAATGGTCTTGGTATACTTTGGAAACTAGAAGTAGAATAATGAGGCATATTTTATTTAATCAGTAATACATAATAAATATTTTCTAGCATTCTAATTATGGATTTAGTCCTATAAATCTTTACTTGCATAAGAAGTTTGTACTTGCAATGAGTACTAAATACTTGGAAGATGTTTATGCCGTTCTTTAAAAATTTGTTTATTAGGAGACTGAAACAAAAAGTAGATTGTAGCATCTAATTATGAAAAAGAGGATACACATCACATCCAAGTAATGTGGCACTCTCTTTCTTTTAAGGCAAACACCACAAATGCTGAAAACATTTGGATTAAAATAAAAAGTTTATAATTTAGGTACATGTTTTTTACACTGAGGATCATTCTGGCAAATACTAATAAGCAAGCTACTCCTGTTCAAGATAAGAATGATGTATTGTACTTCTGAGATTGAGCTATTTATAATTTTTACTGCTTTATTGTTGTTTTTAAAAGTGTGTAGGTATATGTAAATATTTATACACATAAATATTTTACAATCCATATAATCATTTTAAAAACAGTGCACTTGCAGAAAAGTATTAACATGAAAACATGTATTAAAATGCTAGTCTTATAATATTTATGTTATGCATTAAATAGAAATTACTGTATATTTTTGTTCAGAAAAGCTTTCAAGTTCTGTCAGCATTATTTGATGGCTTACATATGGAAAAACGGAAAGAAAATTATTTTATTATCCTCCGCTAGAGGGAGAGAGAGCAGCTCTTGTTGCTGGGCAGATTCTGCGAACTTTCATTCTGCACCATTTAAAGCAAAGATGTCAAGTTTTGGGGGGAAAAAACCCCGAGCAATTTAGTTCATTATATTATCAAATACGAAGTAACTCCTAAAATACTGAAGACCTGAAATCTAAAATTTCATTGCTGCTAGGTTACTTTCTGGAATCAATACTACACCAAGTTTATTTCTTTAGACATCTATGTTAACACATTTATTAAAACGTCTGAAATAAATAGCACAAGTAACAGAAATTATAATAGTTACTAATTTGATAACAAAACAAAATTACCTACATTGTACTTTCCATTCTGTATTGGATGAGGAATATTCCTGCAGATAGTGCATCATTTTCACTGCTTCCTTAGAAATCAGAGCATGATTTCTTCCACCCAACAGGTCACCCTCTATCTCAGGAGCTCAGAGAACTCTCAGCTTCCCAGAGACGATTTGACAGCAACTGTTCAGACTGTCGATGTTTCCATTTCACCTAAATAACCTGATGCTGCAGTCCATGATATCCTCACAAGTGTCTGTCACTTTCAGTCCTCTGGATTCTGGTTTGCAGTTTGTGGTGGGGTAAGAAAACAAGAGCTGGTGTCTGTGTGCTCACAGAACGTGTGGGAACTGCCCCAGCCCATAGAAACACGAGACACTTGGTTTAGCTCAGAGTACTGAGCAGGACCAAGTTTCTTATGCATTTGTAAGGTCATTTGGACAGTGGGCACAGGATGCACAGTACCTAAAGGACAGCCATGGATGGCACGTAATCAAAAGCTGAAATGCTACTTTCATTTAAAACCCACTGCAGAAAGAGTACAGAAGAAAGGCTGGGAATGGTTAATATGTCAATTGTCAAAGTAATAATCTAGCACAGGAAGTTTAAGTGACCTTGAAAAGTTGTAAATATTTCTTTATATACTGTTACATGGACAAACTAAGCACAAGGCAACACCTGTTTTGTTTGTGTTCATATAGATTTCAAAGGAAGGCCTCTGTTTATGGTTCAAGAACATCAAAAACTTAACAAGGAAGCACAAACCAGGCTGTAACACAATGTTTGAATTTAATTCTGAAGTTTATAAAATGCTCACAAATAAAAAAATCCCATTACATATATTTCTAAACTGCAGTCCTGTTTATATTTATTTAAGTTTTCTAAGGAACTGGAGGCAGTTTAATAATACATTATTTTTTTCTATCTCTGTTTAAGGAAAATTATAGTTATTGATAGTATGAGCACTATGGAGAGATTGAAAAAACCCCAGTGAAACAAGCAAATTATATTGGAACACTTACTGAGAAGGAAGGAATGGCTCTATCTTAGACACATAATGGCAGCTTTTGTACAAACAGTTCTGGCTGAGCTGTCACAGAGATCTCTGTTGCAGGATCTCTGGGGTTTTTTGGCCTAGTAGAGATCAGTCACACTCCAGCTCTCCAAAACAGCACGTGCAGCTGTGGAGAGCAGGACAGCAGCAGAACACTCAGCACACCCTGGCAGCTTCACACAATATGAGAATCTCTGGTTCAGGTACTGCTGCAGATGACCTTATGAGATATGAGCCACTAATGGCACACTGCAACTTAGTTGTGAGCTGAGGAAGTCACCTGCTGTAACTTGTCTGAAACATTTACAGCTCTCAATTCAATGGAGGACAGTGTATGTGTCTCCTTCTGTCTCTAATCATTGTTTATCTGCTCTGTTCTCATGAATTGGAACACCATTGCTGTTCTGGTGTTTAAAAAATAACTTTTCTAGAAATATGTTGTTTTGGGGTTTTACCCAAATCAAGCTATTAAAATGTTGTGTTAGGATTTCATGAAAGTTTTGATATTTCACAAACTATTTATAAAGAATGTAATACTATGGCAGTGGTGCTACAGCAAATAAAAACAGAAACAGAAAGGAAGATCACACAGTTCAAATTAATCTCCAAAAAACTCAATGTTTACTAGCACAAATGCTGTTTTGTATTATGTTTTTTAAATGTTTAGAAATCAGAAGATTTTTTACCAAAATATCTGTCAAGATAAGCATGAAGAAAACTACAGAACAAAGTTACATATATATTCTAAACTTTATGCGTAATCTGCAGCAAACCCAAATTTATTGGTTTGCACTAGACACATGCAAAACATCCACTTCATACCCACTATAGTAAAACATTTCAAGAGCAAAAATTTAGAAAGATACTGCACACAGATTAACACTGTGATTTGAGTGCCATAAAATCAGAGATAGCCTTGGTACCATTGAAATAAATACTTGAATTTATATTTACTAGTTCAGTGCTAATTTGACCTTGCAGGAGTTTGCAGTTAATTTGGTATATTTGCAACAGGTGCAACCCACAACCAAGTCATGCATTGCATTCTCTGAGATCTCTTACATGCCCAAGTCTGACCCAGAGGAAGTGAGTGCAGTGCCAGTGTGAGTCATGTTGGAGGCTCCAAGCTCTCAGTCCTCACGGTGCTTCAGATGTTCAGCCAGCTGCAACCACACCCTTAAGCTCAAACGTTTTAAACCAGAAAAGCGAGATATCACCATGTGCAAAACATGTTAGTTACATTTGCAGTTAGGATTTTTCCTGATAAGATAGTTTATCTTCCTTCTCAATATGCAACTTTGATTGCTAACGTAGAAAGCTGAAGTTAAATAACACCACATAAAGGGACTGTTTTCTCACCTCTTCTTTTGTTTTGTGAGCGAGTGTCATTCCTCCTGTGCTGTGACTTTCTGAATTAGGGAAATAACTAGAATGAGTTGCAGAACACACATTTTCCTGTGCACATCTTTATCTATAATGTGGAAATGTAGGTTTGCTGGTGCTGCTGCCACTGAAGAACTTAAAAGTGTGCGGGTGGCAGCAGTTCAGTTCTGAAGCAGCAGTCACCGTACATACTCCTACCCATACAATGTACCCTGCCAGCTCTTTAGACTTCTGCAACTCAGTATCCTGTTCCTGCTCGCTTTCTCCCTTCATTCTTGCTGCACTTCTTGTGGAAGGATGAGCCTCCAGCCTCTCATGTGAGGCAATACTTAGTTTTGCTGGGAGAACTTCTAATATGAATCTTGACAAGTCACTGATAAAATAGCCTCTCCACTCTGAGGCAGGACTGTTAACTACTCTGCAGCATCCCCAGCTGCTGAGAAACATTCTTTGGTTCTTTTAATACAGTCCAGGAAACACACATTTTTCACCACATACACAGAGTGTTTTTTATACAACTTAATTGAAAGAGGGTAGCCTTAGATTAAATGGTGCAAAGAAATTCTTCCCTGAGGGTGGTGAGGCACGGGCAGAGGTTGCCCAGAGAGGCTGTGACTGCATCACCCCTGGAAATGCTCAAGACAAGGCTGGATGGAGCTTTGAGCAACTCAGTCTAGTGGATGG